TGACTACTTCAAAGCCAAATTAATTCAAAAAACTATGTCTATAATTTCATTAGATGTCTACTGTGAGATACTAATTAAGCACATTTATAACATTTACATATCACTTTATACAATAAAGTTTAGACAAAATGAGTATTGGTGATAGTGTTATTGCTACTCTGCTCAATAAAAAAAGTTACCAATTTTTGTCTGCTTTCCCATATATAAGCCTTCAGGAACCAATTATAGGATCCAGTGATGTTTTAAAGTGGCTGAACCAAGAAGTTTTAATAAAACAAAGTGTTTTCATCTTACCATCCCATCTCCACATTTTGTTCCAGGAGCAACCAGACCCAGATCTTTAGAATTGTGGTATAAAAAAAAGGTTTTGCATTCAGTGGTGACATTCCATTTTGGGGTCTTCTTGAAGTGATAGATCTTTTCTTCTCCAGAGACAGAAGGGTGTTGCCCTCCAGTGCAGTATATTTTTCCACATTTGACATCTCTGAAAGAAAGGGAGTGTATTCCCAGATGTGGGACCAGAAATAGAGCTTTAGAGACTAGGCTTGCAATGATGTGGCCTGGCCACTTTTCCCTGGACCCACGTTTGTCAGTAGGCTACAGAGAGGCCAAGAGAGGCAGGGTAAACTGTTGGGCAAAGTCTTCACCCTGGGAACTGAGATGAGTAGGTAAAGGTGTAAAATGATAATATTGCTTTATGCTATCTTTGTAATGCTCACAAATCAATATTACTTTAAGCTTACAGAAAAATATTTTTATTAGTAATTTAAATTAGCATAACTTGAATCAGGGTCTTAAGATTTATTTCTTATTTTTTCTTGCATAGAGCACACCAGTTGATTCTCACAATAAACCTAGGTGGTTGCTATTAATATAAACCCCATTTTGAAGATTAGGAAGCAATTGGAAATAAGACAAGTCAAGTGTTAGCCCATTTCCACCTAGTATATTTAGGAGCAAAGTTGAACTTGACCATAGGTTTTTGCTGTTGCTATGTTTAGACCAAATCCTGTTTTGTGGCACACAAACAAGCCTTGCTGGGTGTCAGGAACAAACCTGGAAGTATGGCTCAGCTCATGCTTTTTAAAATCAGATCTAACTTCCAATTCTCCCATTCTCTCTTCAAGTTTCAACTTCAGCCTTTCTTTCTTATTAAGGCTTCACTCTTTCCTTTTCTCTTCCTCTTTTCCCTTTTTGTACTTATTTTCCCCCTCCTTCTGTGTACTTCTTTCTCTTTTCTGTAGCTTCTTCTCCTTCCTTTCTTGCCTAAGAAGCTGAAACGTTTCCCATCTCACCTGCCTCTATTCCACGACCTTCAGCTAATAAATCCAGTATGTAAATGCCAGTTAACACTGGCCAGGACGCTGCTGTCTCCCTTCCTGCTTCCCTCTCTTCCTAGTTTCCCTAGTGAAAACAAGCTAGCAGCTGTAGGAACAAGAGCTGCTCCGACTTTGCAAAACGCTCTTGAAGGGCACTTACTTCTCTTCACAGGGAATTAATCGGTTGTCCTTGTTTTTGCAGTATCCAAATCTATTTCCTTTTTTATTCATCGTGTAGCAGATATCAGAACTGTCTTTTGCCTCTGTAATGCAAAATGGTATGATAAAAGTAAAACAATGAAAGCATGAATATTATTAATTATAAAATATTTTTCTAATATAATTGAAATTTCAGTATTATGTAGTGGGAAGCAGAATGGAATAAATAAATAATTTAAAAACCATCCTATGACCTCAAGAGGATGTTTTAGGAAGGAGTGTAGATATAGAAAAGGGATAAACATACCTTAACCCACATACTGAGCTAATCAATTAATAGTAAGTAACATCAGTTAATATTAATGGTAAGATGCAGGAAATATCTTGGAACAAATGCCACAAATAGCATTATTGTCAATCTTGTACCCAAATTCCTACAGGACAATAAGAGAGAAATAATGGCTATTATTCTAGCTTTATCAGTCATTCACTGTAATTGTCTCTCACCATCATTAAACAATTCAGAGCACTGGTCATCCCGGGTGGGACATTTCCCCATGAAACAGTAGCCTTTTTTGTTCTTGCAAGGAAATCCGTTTGCTTGAAATTGGTCCTTGGGACACCCAGAAGAGTGGCCAGTACACACTTCAGGAAAATCACATTCATCTTTTGCTGGTCTACATACAGACCCTACTTTTTTCATCTGTTGAAGAAAAACAAAGAAACTGAATCTCGTGCATATTTAAGTAGGTAAATAGGAAGATTGACTCATTTAATTTACCTAAGAAAGGTTTTAGAAATGGATCATAACTTCCCTTTTCCATTACACTGAGAATCATTATCATTTGTAAATGCCTTGGCTTTTATTAATTAAAGCAATGACAAGATGGTGTTTTTGAAATTTGGTATTAGACTAGCATTGGGCAGAGTTGGAATGGACATAAATTGGAGACATGAGTAAGCACTCTGTTTATCTTGTCTTCTTCATGCCTTGCTTCAGTACTCCTCCAAACACAACTACCACCATAAATGCACACACACACACACACACACACACACACACACACACACACTCACACACACCCTGAGAGCCCCTGCCTGTAAGGAGGACTCTCCACTCCTAAGAAATCAGGTTTCTCCATATGAACTAGAAAAATGCCCAAGCTCTCGTTGCTGGAAGGTACATCATGAAAATATTCTCTCATTCAGCCATTCAATATGCATTTAATTGTGCTGAGTTCTGGAAGGATTTCAAGATGAGTAAGATATACTTCCTTTCTTTGTGATTTCACAATCTAGTGGGGTGAAAGGAGTATCAAAAAGCTTGGACAGAGCCATTTGGATTTCTGGTCGTCCTTCCTCAGAATATATCTCCATGTACGAGTCACTATCCTTTTCCAATTCCAGAATAATCCACTTCCCTTTTAGTTCTTTCTTGTCTAGATGCCAATCCCNTATATATATATATATATATATATATATATATATATACACACACACACACACACACACACACACACACACACACACACACACACAAACACACGCCGCGAGCGCTCAGGAATAAGTCCTATGCAAATAAATGATTGGTAAGACATCAACTTAAAAAGGAGTCAAATCTTACATTTTCACTGCACTGAGAGGAGCAATTGGTTGAATTGTAGACCTTTTCAATATTCACACATTCATTATTGCTGCACACCTAGAAATGAAGTAACCAATATGAATTAGAACAATTTGCTCTTAGAATTTACATGATATTTTCTATTGTGAAAAACCACAGTAGAATTCTGTGGAATAAAAAATCTTCTATGAATGTTTGGTGGATATTTGAAAATAATATACTATAAATTCAAATATTGTTATACACAAACTCTTTATTAAAATGTCTATGTCCTTATGAATTCTTTGAATGTCAATCTAGCAAAGATTCTATAATTGTAATTGCAATAATTTCTTCTATTATTTCTATCAAGTTTTCTTTTGATTTGAAGAAGATCCATGCTTGTCATATCACAGTTGCTAGTTAGACATTTTGTTAATATCAGTTAATCCTCTTATTTACGCTTATCACTTTTTGCTACTTTTTTTGTGTGTGGTAAGAACATAAAAACACTTAAGGAGTACTCTCTTAGCAAATGTCAAGTATACATTACAGCATTATTAACTATAGTCACCATGCTGTACATTAGATCTCTAGAACTTACTCATCTTATAGAAAGCTTGCACCCTTTGACCAATATCTCCCCATTTTCCCTACCCTTTAGCCCCTGGCAATCATCATTCTATTCTCTGCTTCTGTGACTTTGACTTTTTTAGATTCCACATATTGTACAAGTATAAGAGAGATCATACAGTATTTGTCTTTCTGTGTCTGACTTATTTCACTTAGCATAAAGAAAATATCCTCCAAGTCATCCATGTTGTCACAAATGAAAGGATTTTCTTTTTTTGAAAGCTACATTATATGTATATACATATGAAAGCATTTTTATTATCCATTCACCCATTGAAGGACATTTAGATTCTTTCCATATCTTGCTATTGTGAATAATGGTGCAATAAACATGGGAGTGCAGATATCTTTTCAAATTTCTGATTTCAATTCCTTCGGAGATATACTCAGAGTGGATCTACTAGATCATATATTAGTTCTATTTTTAATTTTTTGAGGAACCTCCATGTTGTTTCTATAATGGCTGTAACAATTTACATTGCCACCAACAGTGGGCAAGGGTTCTCTTTTGTATGCCAAATTAAAGTTTACCTAGAAAGATTAACTACTGAGAGAAATTAGAATGTTTCTTATGCATCTTAAGTTCCTCAAGTCTAAAAAAAAATCAGTATCTCAATGTGAAAATAAAATGAAAATTCTGAAACTAGTATCTGGTATACCTCTATGGACTAGCCTCTGCTAAGCATGAATTCTCTCATCAGGAATTGGTTCAAGAACTGCCACCATTGTGTCTGGTGTGCTTCTGGACTGATTCTCCTTGAAGGAATAGGCACTCTATGTAGTAGTACCTGGTCACAATGTACTTATACAGTCAAGCTGTGTTTATACAGCTGCTCCCCTTTGAACCCCTTTGTTCAATCCCTGCCACTCTTAAGGTGGTTCTATAAGGGGGATGTCATACTTCTGCTTTGTACTTCTGACTGATTTTCATTGCCTGAAGTGAATAAAGATTGTTTGATATCTACCTCAACCTGATGCCTTGCACTCTATCTTCTTCAAAGCCCTTGAACTTTCTAGCTTGAATTGGGTATACATAACTCAGTTTTCACAAATACAGATTCCTTACCAGTTTAATATTTATTTAGTCTTTTTTTTTTTTAAGCTGGGCCATCCTGCCACCTGTTGGCAGCTCGGCGGCAGCTCAGCTTGGGCCGGGACTTGAACCGCTGTTGCTCAGAGCTCGCACTCTTGAGCAAGCTCTTAACCAACTGAGCCACTCGGCCGGCCCTACTTAGTCTTTTTAATGAGAAACTGTATAGTTAAATATTTTGACTTGAAATAAATATTGGTCTCTATTAAGTTGTTAAATTCTAATCCTTTTTTTACACTCTAAATTTCTGTTTTCCAGTTCATTTCTCTATCACATTATTTGAATGGCACTGTAATGTTTGTGGGTGGTAGCCTATAGAGAGAGGGGAAGTTGTACAATGAAGAGAAAATGTTCAATTTCAAAATATCTAGTTTTTCAAACAAAGTATTACGTTTCCCATATATTCTTGTGTTTATAAACCTTGATGAGCTGGTTATTGTTTTTAGTATACATTCTAAAGTTTTGTCTTGAAATAATAAACCCTTCCCAACCTGGCCTCATTCATTTTTCGCCATTTCACCCAAAGCCCCAGTTACACTGAAATTGTCAGCTACCTGACTATGCCACGCACTTTGTATCTTTGTATATTATGTAGGTATGTTTTTGTAAAAAAGTCTTTTCTCATTTGCTGTGTGTTGAAAACTGCTTCTCATCAAGTCAAAGCTAAAATGTCACTCATTTAATGGCATCATACGATGCCATTTTATGTTCTCTAAATAAAGTTAGTCCTTTGGACTCAAATGTATATTGGCTTCANGGCTGCTCACTGCGGCTGCTGGCCGCTCACGCTGGCTGCTGGCTACACACGGTAGCCCATGGCAACCCACTGCCACAGGGGCTCAGCCTACGCTGTTGCTGGCGACTCACGGCAGCCCAGCTCCAGGTTGAGCTGTTGTTCAGCATCTCAGCTATGGAGGGCAGTGTCACTGGCCCTCATATTTGGGATCCGAACTGGGGCCCTTTGGAGTCCCGAGCCAGTTATTAACCAGCGCGCCACTCGGCCGGCCCCGAGATTGACATTAGCATCATGTGGTTTCGTCTAACAAAAATCTCAGTGGAATCTTGAAAAGTTATCATACATTATTTTCCAACCATTCGAGTAGAAAACTAAGACTTGTTTTTATCATCTTGTAGTCACCATGGGCTATTTGTTTTACAAAAAATCCTGCTGAGATTTTGATTAGGATTGTTTTGAATCAATAGATCAATTTGGGGAGAACTCAGCAATAGTGAATCTTCTGATTCATGAACATGTATTTCACTCCGTTTATATTGGTCTTCTTTAGTTTTTCTCAGCAATGTTTTGTAGCTTTCTATGTTTATGCTTTGTGCATCTATTTATTAGAAGTATTGGCAAGTATTTTCTCTGTTGTAATGACTTTGTCTAGGTGAGTAGCAGAGAAATCCTGTCCTCATAAAATGAGTTGAGAAGCATCCATTTTCTCCCATTTTCTGGAGGAGTTTATATAGAACAGATATTATTTCATCATTAAACATTTGGTGAAATTCACCAGTAAAGCTATATCATCACAGTATTTTCTTTGTGGAACGGTTTTGACTACAAACTCAATTTCTTTATTTGATATTGGGGATTTTTCCAATATCTTTCAGTTATTGATTTTTAATATGATTTTATTTTGAGAACATATTTTGCATGACCACAATTCTTTTACATTTAAGACTTGTTTTATATCCAGAGTATGGCTTATGTTTATAACTTTTTCCAGTAGTACACAAATCAATATTTTATTTAACTAATATAGTTTGCTCTGAAACACTGTGTTGCTTTGTTTGACTCCTGCCATCCTCTCGCTACCCACATGTAGTTTGAAGCCTTCATGGTATGGAATCATATTTAACTGTTGTTCTATGTTTCTTACCTCCCTTAGCTTAGGGCCTGTCTCATGTTAAACACGCATACAACTGCTTTGAAAATTAAGTAATTAACCACTGCAAATGAAATTTTCTTACATGTAGGGGATGGATATTAGGTAAGATTGGCTCAATTCTTGTCTGCTGCTCATCAAAAAAGTATCCTTTATTCTCCACTCCCAGTGTGTCTCTAGGTGGGCTGTCAAGAAGAAAATTGAGTATTGACAAAAGATATGGGATAAGCCTGTGGTTAATATTAAACCATCTAGGAGATTTAAAAAAGACTGATACTCAGGTTACACCCTATAACAATTAAATCTGAGGAAGGGACCTGATCATTTTGTTTTTTAACCCTGCTGTGATTCCAATGTGCAGCAAAGTTTGGGAATCAATATGTTAAAGCTTGATTTACTGCTACTCTGACTTAGTCTTCCATAAGAGGTTATACGTTTCCTCCATCAAGCATCTTCTATGGCCACAAAGCTTATATGTTCTCAATAATGGTCCCCGTTAACACCTAGAAAATACAGACATACCTCTGAGCTTGCTTCAGTTTAATACACTTTTGGGAACGAATTAATAATGCGAGAGCTCCCAAACCAATAATAACCATGACGAGTACAACAACCAGGATGGAGACACCTGGAATGGTAAAAACAAAACAAAACAAAACATGAGCTTCAACCTGTATATCAAATTTAGGACAGTGGAATATTAACAAGTAACTGAGCTGTTACAATCCTGGCTCTCCCTTCCTTAAAAGACTTTAATTGCTCCACCCCATTAATATTATTCATATATATACACATACATATATACATATACATACATATATATATATATATGTGAAGTAAAAGGCCAAAATATTACACACATTATCAACTATATTAGCAATTGACACTCCATCCCAGGTCCATTATGTCTAATAGACCCATAATCAGCAGAAAAGTTTTGATTATCAGCTTTAACTGACTATAGAAAAGGCCTTGTGTGTCATGCTCTCTTAGAAGACCGATTCCAAATTTAACTAGAAGATACACTAATTCTAAAACCCAATAGTAGTAAAGTCAAATTTGGCTATTTAAATATTCAAAATAATAAAAAGACCACACAAATCCATACAGAAACATAACATATATGGAATAGACTTGGGGGAAAAAAGAAAACGCTTTTTCACTGGCTAGGCTTTTGATATATGCAAGATATTACATTCCAGGATGCTCACTGGTAACATTTAAGGTTTCTTCCCAGTCCACAGGTACTTGTCCTTCCTCACACTGGCACTCAAGTTCACTGTCATCCACCTGAAAGAGCAGGCAATCCTATAATGTTATCAAATGACTGACATAGCTGTGTCTTGTGCCTCACTTAGCTTAGTGCTATTTCTACATCACACACACACACACACACACACACACACACACACTCTTTATATTGATTAATTAACTAAACTGCATACCAAATCAATGTTGGAAAGAAATAAGCAAACAAAATATGAGAATCAACCACCTTTGAAGATGGTCTTTGAAC